CGGCGGGGCCGGGCTGGGGGGTGCGGGGGGCCGGGGTTCCTCCCAGGTCTTGCCACTTCCCTTTTCCCCTTCCCCATCCAGGGCCTCTTGCCCGCCGGCATCCGCCTCATGCCCCACACCGTGCTCACGTTCGTGTTTCTGGAACAGCTTCGCAAACACTTTGGCATCAAAGTGCCGTCCTGATGGGGCCGTGGGAGCGAGCTGGGCCGTGCTGGCCCCCAGTGCCAGTTCTTCCACAGTCCCGGCAAGCCAAGCGCTGCCCTAAGCCCAGCACCTGCCCGCAGGGCTCCAGCCCCCCATTCCTGGCCCAGGACGCCCACCCCGTCCTCCCCCACCTGCCTGGGCTGGAGCTCCTTCCAGGAGCTGTCCCCCCAGCACCCCTCCGCTGTAGCTTCGCCTTGGCCCTCCCTACCTGGCACCCCAGTGGCCCCATCCACGCACCTGTGCCTCACTGGGAGGGGCGGGCTCCAAGTGCAGGTTCAGGCTTCTCCCCTCCCCGAGCAGTCAGCCCTGGCGGGGGAGGGGCAGGCTCCAGGCTTTCTGGGGTCCCCCGCCCCTTCGCCTGAGGCGTTTCTTTCACCGAGCAGCTGCCCAGGGCTCACAGCACCGTCTTCCAGCAGCTTCTTTCAAGGACCTGGGAGGCAGAGCGGGGGGAGTGCAGACCCCCAGCATTGCCCACCAAAGCGTGTGCCTGCACGCGCACTTTATCCTAGGAAAGGGACCATAGCTTTCGTGACGTTCTCGAAGGTAGCTGTGCCCCTGCGCTGCTGGGCAGGTGGCGGAGGAGGCAGGGAACGCAGGGTCTGAGCTGTGGGCCCCTCAGGCCCGTCCCGCCCCAGCCAACCCCCTGTTGCTCTAAGGGTTAGTTTCACCAAAAACCTCAGCGCCAGAGGCGCTGCTGTCTGCAGGGAGCGGAGTGTCTCTCACACCGTCCACGCTGTCCCCTCCGGCCCCCGGGGCAGAGGCGGGCTGTGCCGCGTCCTCGGGGCCCCTCTCTCTGTGGACAGCGATCACCCTTCAGGGCCCCCAGCAGCTGACCAGCCAAAACACCGCCGCCCAGGTTCTGCTGCCAGAGCAGCCTGACCCTGCAAATGGGCCTAGGGACTGTGTCTTCACCCCGGTAGGGGGCCGGCCCACAGGGACACTAATAAAGGACAGGAGCTGCTGTGCGTCTAGTCCTTGCATCCAGTCCCTGCGTCCAGGCTGCTCACTGCTCTGCAGGCCGCCTTGGTGCCTGGGGGCAGCAAGACCCCCCTCTGCACCCCACAATGAGGGCTCTCTGGTTTATGGGGGGCAGGGCCCAGAGGAGGAAGAAGCGACAGCCCTGCCTGGATACACAGGGTAGCCTGTGGCAGAGGGAGGGGTCTGGTCAGCGTTGGTCTTCCAGATCCAAGCCACCATGGATCCCTTTCCAACAAGCACAGGGCTGCAAAGCCCTCAGGTTTGAGAGTTTCCAGCAGGCTGACTTCCGTGGGGGGGCGCTCTTCTGCTATGGGAGGTGCCCCTTGAGTCAGAGCCATGAGCTCTTGGGTGCTGGCGATTGTCCAGCAAGCCCGGAAGGGGCTGGGGAGGCTCTGGTTTGCTGGACTGCAGACTCAGACGGACGGACAGGCTGGGCAGGAGCCAGTGTGGGTACTGCCCTGAGGTCTTGACATCCCAGGACAGGTGGGAGCGGCCCCAGCCAAGAGACACGTGGGACAGATGGTCTGTCGGCAGCCGGTCCAGACACCCTAGTCCTGGGGCATGGAGCATTTCAAGTGTATTAAAAAAAAACCGTTTTGGATAGTGGTGCCGGTTCCACAGTTCCAAATATACTAAAAACCACAACATCCCGAGTTACCTGAAAACAAGCAGCCTGCACCCATGTGTCCGCCCCAGCTGGCCACATCCTCCGTCCTCCAGCCCCCTCCCTGCCCACTGGGTTATTTAGAAGCAAACCCCAGACATTGTGTCATTTATAAATACTTCAGTATGTCTCAAAATAGCCTTTAAAAAATGTAAACTACGATAGTGATTCACTATACGTAAAGAAAGTGTAAAGAAAGTAATTAATGGCCGATCTTCCTGTCATAAGATTTCCAGAATCGCCACTATGTGTCTTTAGAGTTGGTTTTCTTGGGACCGAAGTCAGCCCACGTCTCCAGCCAGCGTGCTTCTTCTGCAGGGTCAGCCAAGTCCTTGGTCCTATTGCTTATCTTGTCAGTTTAGCCCCTTCCTATGTCCTCGAAATTTTCGAAGCTACAGATCTGGATTCAGGTGTCATGTCTGGGTGACAGTTCTTTGGTGTGTGGACGAGTGTGGCATCCAAGTCTCAGGGTCTGGCTGGGTTTGAAGTGGCCATCGGCTGGGAACGCTCCAAAAATGAAGCCGGATCCAGGACCCCGTGATGGGCCCGGGGCTCGGGTTTGGGGGGCTGTGGGGTCACTGGGGGCCTGGCCGCCGGGCTGGCCGAGGACATGGACGTGGACCCTCCGGTGCCAGCACGGTTTCGGGGACCAGCATAGCCCCTGAGGCCCAGGAGGGAACCCTGCTGAGCCAGTTGACTGGGGCAGCCCATGTGGTGACACGGGAGGCTGAGGGCAGGGTGGCGGGTCACAGGGAAGTCTGCTGCTTCTCTTGGACCCCAGGGAGGTTGAAAAGGCAGTGAATTCCGGGAACTGGCCACTCAGGGCCACCGTGCCCCTTCTTGGAGCTGCTCTGGCCGGAGCATCGGCACGGTCTTGCCCTATGCTCGACGCGCCCAAGGCAGCGGAAGCTGGCATCTCACCAGCCGCTCCCGGCTGGGCCCGTTATGCAATGCCTGCCCCGGAATGGGCCCGGGGAGAAAGTCCTGTCTGGCTTGGCAGGGACGGGCCTGGCCGGGGACCCCTGCAGAGCGCAGGGTGGGATGGACACGAGGTTGCCAGGGCACAGAGGAAGGCAGCGTGCAGAGCTCTCCACCCACCCTCCATGAGGCCATAGCTTCTTGGGAAGGGGGCCCACGTGAAAAGGAGGTGCACCCAGGGCAGAAAGGCCTGGCGAGGGCGAGGACAAGGGCAGGGCCTCCCCTGGGAGTTTTTGTTTGAGGGGCCCTGGTCCCCCATCTGTCCAGGGTCAATCCGAGTCTGGGAGCGCGAGCAAAGCTGAGGGCGGCCCAGCGTTCAGTCCTGGGGTTTCACTGCCCCCCTCCCCCCAAGGCATCTGGCCCCAAGGCACGAAGCATTAATGTCACACTCGCCGGAGAGCAGGCCGGGTTCAGGTCAGCCCCAAGCTTTTTTCCTTAAAGACTGCCGCTTACAAGAAAAGCTTCGCAGTAAGGACTGGTTGTCAAGAAACTTCAGCGAGACGCCAGGAAGATTTGGTGGGGAAAGGACAGCGTTTTCAGCAGATGGTGCTGGGCGACTGGACAGCTGCACGCGGCAGTGACGCTGGGCCCTCGCCACGCATGCGCACGCACGGGAACGCGAAGTGGACCCCAGACCTCCGCGGCAGAACTCACCCTG